TTGTGGCCAGCAGATGGCAGTAAAAGTCCACTAGCAGCCAGTTGTTTCCTCCTTTCCTCAACCACTTTTCAGATCCACACATAATTTTTTTTTCTATCAGTGTTCTCCTTTGAAGGGCAAGTTGCCACTTGTTAAACTCTGTCTTTTTATATCTCTGTCTAATGGCATGCATCTTTCTGTCATCAACCTCCTCAGTTTTTAATTCTCTTCTCTTCGTCTTTTCTCTTCAAAACCTGTCCCAGATTTCTTTTTCTTTTTTGGCTTCATATCTTAATTTTTATTCTTCTTTATTACTATTTTATTAGCTTCAGAGGATTCTATCAGGGTCTCTTCAAACACGTTACTATGAATAGGGGCAAAGAGCTCCATGGCTGCCTCAATGAAGTAGCTGTGTTGTTTCGAGTGTAGTGAAAGATATAAATATAAATTTACATGTAATACTATATTCCAGTGGTTCCCAACCTATTTTTCTCCAACCTATTTGCCCCCCATCCTACTCTCTAGCCAGTCTGAGCCCCTGATCGCCTTTTTCTGTCCTTTCCCAAATACTTCTTTTAGCTTAAATCTATTAACGAACTTCCCTTTCCCAGTACTGACGTACTCCAGACATTTGAACTAATCCCATTCTGAAATACATTCCTAGAACTTGTTCTATCTCTTTTACTGAAGTGTCTACACATTTCCTATGCTTTTGAACACTGTATTGATTGGTATGCTCAACAATATTTTGCAACATATCCCGGTTAACAAAGCGTTGAAAGTAAACCAGCGGCGTGTCTGTCGTGGCATCCTGGTACGACTCAACTTGTTCAACTTGAAAGTTCACATCAGGCAACTCAAAGTTTGTCTTTCTCCACCTGTAAGTTTTTGTAATACATTTTGGCTCCATCTGTGGCTTAGCAGTCTTGGCAAATGCCACATCTTCATCACTTGAGGAGTCGTTGGACGAGTCACTGTCTTGGGGAGATTCACCACCATCACTTTCATGTGGTTAAAACAATTCTTCAGAATCGCTATTGCTGTCCAATTCAGGGCCAAAGTCACTATCATCAGCTAGAAGTTGCTCTAACACTTGTGCAACTGTTAACAGGAGCAGTCATTCGCCGTGAAAAGATATAGGAATTTACCTTATTAGTCTCTGGCCCTGCACTACTAAGTTAACATTGTGAAATATATTATATGAATGAATTTATTTGAAAACTTCAGCCAAATACTGGACTGAAATCATTCTCCATCTGCAAAGTCACTCAAAGAACCAAAGGGTCAATCTTAACCTCACATTTTTTAACCCATACACCCAGAGGATAATTTTTGGCCCATCGTTTTTTAAGCTAGCTCAGAGTTGCTAATTTATCTAAAAAAAAACATAAAATGTACTTCTGGGCTTTCTTCAAGTTAATATTTAACAGAGTAACAAAAAATCAACAATTCTACCAACCTTTAGTTTGCTGAAAAGAGAATTTTGTTTAGGTAGGTTTTTAGCTCAACAAAGCAGCATATGGTCAGCCTTCTTGTCACATCCATATTGGCTTATGTCAGGTCAATATTTATCCACTATGTGTCTCTGTGCAGGGGTCAGAAGGGGCACTATGGGATTTTGGAGTCAAATTGAGAATTTTTAAAAATGTTTGTTCATTTTGGGCAGCATCAATTGCATCGACTTATTGACTTGAAGGCAATCCCTCACACTAAGCATACTTGTAGCAACAGTGGAGAGGAAAAACTCCCCTTTAACAGGAAGAGCCCTCCAATAAAACCAGACTCAGTGTCAGCGGCCATCTGCCGAGGTTGACTGGGGTTGATAGAAGCAGACATACAGAAAGAAACAGAGATACAAAGGCAACTGTAGACCAGCTCCACAGGCGGCCCTGTCCAGGAAACACACAGCCAGGCAGACGAGCTCTGAGCCAGCTCCCGTGTCAGAGGATGAAGAGAGCACATCTAGTTAGTCACAGTCAGAGAAACAGGACTACACTGACAAGCAGGCCGTTCTTGAACATCTATAAACAAAGGTTGTTGTGTATATGCAGCTGGCTAGCTCAAGTGGTAAATCAACTGGTCTTGCAGACAGGATGCCTGGGTTCATATCCCAGCTGGGGAGAGTTCCTGTCTGTTTCAAACCTGCAGCTTGCGCTGTTGCCTTCTTCATGGATCTGAAGCATCTACCTCTGACAATTACCTGTCCCTAGACAATATTTGACACTACAGGCAAGCAGAGTTTCTTTTCTTTTTTTTTTACAGTGTCCTGTCTGGCGATGTGGCAATAAAAAAATTGTCTTGATGTCAAAAAGAGCCCAACAGATTTTAATTTCACAAGTGGAGCAGTACGGCTATTGCCATATTGTTCCACTTAATTTATGCATATAAATAGCTTTATTATAATTATGCAGGGAGTTTTACAGATTATATGGACGCTGCAATCTAGGTAGAACAGGAAAGGAAAAACAGAATTCCAATGACTGCTTCATCAACAGCAGGAGCTGCCATTACTCTTCTTTTGACATTTTTTCAAGCCTGTACTCCAGTTTGCGCAAAAAGCCTTCCACAGCCTCCTTGCACTGCAGGATATTTGAATAAGGTTGTTGCATCCGCTTTTTTGTTTCATTGTAAATCGTGAGTACTGTATGTCAGCAAGATAAGCTGTTTTGATCCAAAAAAGTAATTCAGTTGTTTGAACAGGGATCAATTGTGGTCTTGAAGGAATTCTTTAATTTTATCTTGCAACTCAAAAAAACGCACAAGCACTTGTCCCTGCGACAGCCATAGCACCTCTGTGTGCAGCAGTGTTTGATGCTCTTCATCTTCGTACATCTGGGCAAAAATTCTGTTGTTCAAAGGGCAAGGCGTGATAAAATTTACTACAATAACAACCTTTGAGAGGATGGTACTAAGTTCTTCTGAAAGTCTTTTTCCTGCCAAAGCTTGACAGCGGAGCACACAATGGAAGATCAAACACACTGGGGCTTTTTATTTCAAGCGGCTGTTAAATTTTTTCTTTTTGCCCATCATGGGTTTTCGTGGTTTTCGTAGTTCAGGTTGTGAGTTATAAAATAGGTGTCCGCAGCAGTAAATAATAAAGTGCTGTTGAAGTTCTGGCCAGACTTGTTGACACAAGAATGTCTTGTTTCAAGTCATCACCATCAATATAATGAACATAGACAATTAACATAGACAATAAGCACAGACTTGTCTGACACCATTGTAGTTTCATCAAACTGAATGGCAAAAGGAGTACTGATATTGTCTTGCAGTGGATGTTGGCAATTATCTGCAATTTTATCAATTCTGTCCTTCACGGTATTGTTAGAGTGAGACACTTTTAACTTTATCTTCTACATGTGCCCCATACATCAATTCCACAATTTTCAGGCAAGAAGGTTTCAGAAGCTGTTCTCCAATATTATGTGGCTTTTTTGCCTTTGCGATTAACATTGAACACTTTAAAGATGCTTTGGTGGCTCTGCGCAAATCGCTACCTGCTCTTTCAAAGGCTTTTCTGATATCTGTGGATCTTTTGACAATACAGCTGCTTTTTCCTTAAACCGGTAGTTTCCTTGGGTTTAGTCTCTTGGTGTTGTTTGAGTTTGTTGGTCTCATGCTGCAGTTACACACTCCAGCTGAGAGGGTTCCTGTGTTTCAATGAATTGTAAGTCAAGGTTACTGCCAAGGTTGTTTTTTTTTCTGATGAGGCCAAATCTGTGTTGCCTTTATGTTTGTCAGACATGTTAACTGTTTATCAAAGTTTTACTGATCAGATGAGACCTGCCTCAGCACCAAGTGTCTCAGGGAGTTTTACGGATTACTGCAATGTAAATAGAACAAAAGAGGAAAAACAGAAAAAAAAGGAGAAAAGATGAAAGAAAGAGGAGATAAAAGGGAGATAATGATAAAACATTTTCAGTCTGCTTCATCACCTGCAAAGAGATGTAAAAAGAACAGTACAACCAACAGACATGGTACGAGACATACAATTAAGTAATCACCTAGATACTCCCGCTGAAGTAGCATTATTTAATCTGACATGTACTCTGTGTTACCTGAAGATAAGAATATGGGCTTTCTGTATGGAAGTGAATCTCTGAGTACCTGGAACCAAGCACCTGTAGTTGTTTGTGAGAGTGCACTTGTGCATGTAAAGTTTATCCAAAGGAAAAATGCTCAATAGTGGTTGTGGGGAGCCGACGAGGTGCCCCCCCAGAGCACTGAGTCCAGCACCGAGAGACCCAGGCCCCAGACGCCCAAAGGGACCCCAAGAGCGAAGGCAGCAAGGAGGGGCCAGCCCAGGAAATCCGACCCCCACCAGGGGAGGAAGAGAGACAGCCCAGAGGAAGTTCCCCAGCCAACGCAATGCCGGAGCCCCCGGGAGCCACAGGGACGCCGACAGCCAGCCACCCCGAAGTGAATCCGGCCCTGGGCCCCAGGGATCCGAGGCCTCAGGGGCGCCCCATACAAACCCATGGGCTCCACAGCAATGGGATTTTTCTTTTATTATATTTAGATAATATAATAATGGTTAGGAACCACTGCTATATTCTATACAGTTTACTAAAGAATTACCCTCTTATCCTTTCATATATTTAACATCACTATACTTTATTTCAGCCATGTCCACTAATCAAAGCTCTTTTGCATCAACAGCCACATACATCCAGCCACATGGAAGCACATTAACACAGTGATTGGTAGGCAGCTTGAAGTGTCTCGCCCAAGGGCACATCAAAATGCTACAAAGGAGAAAAGCGGAACTTAAACCACTGCCTTTGTTTCCTAGATGTCTTCTTCTCATCTAAAACAATAAGAAAACAATCTTGTATTATCTCCTTACCTCCAGTTTGCATCTTGATTTTGCCTTTTCCAAAGGTTTCCCAAGATAATAGTGTTTCTTTCCTCCATTTCATATTGTTTTGCAGACTCTAGCTGTTCATTTTCTTTGTTGTTTTTTTCATGCCTAAATAAATATATGTTGCAGCTCATTTTTAACATTTGTTTTCTGTTCCCAGAGTTTTGTTATGAAGTTGGATGGATTCATCTCATGGTTACAAGAGGCGCTAGAGAGCACTGAAAACTGGACCCAACCCAGGCAGGACTTGGACACCCTTAGGGTGTATTTGGACACTCATCTGGTAAGAGAAAATGTGCTAATATGTTTGTAGTTTTCTCATCCATCGACACTTAATAATATGATCGAATTTTCTTTTAGCACCTTCTTATTTCGAAAACTGAGATTGAATTAAGTCCCATACAGTATCTTCTAAAACCCTTTCCATTTCCAATCTTTGTTGCTCTTAAATGTAAATCACGGATAAATATCTCTATTAATGCATTTACCAATATATCTCTTCTGTTAAAGGCATACCTCCAAATCAATATCATCCACAGATTAATACACATGATATACTTATGTTAATGCACGACAAAACAAATTTAAGCTCCCCCCTGGTTGGCGAAATAGCCCTACTGCAGCCTAACTGTTGTTGTCCAAAATGCCCACCTTTGTAAAATTATTTTCAGAGGTTCTATGGGAGTTCCCTTAACAAAGCTGGCCTTCTTTATCGCTAGCTAAGCTTCTTCCTGTTATTTGCTTTGATACTGTAACCCCAGCAGATTATGGCAGAAAAAAACACACTCTTCACAACAGACTTATTTAAGAGTTTGCATGTTGCTGCAAACTCTTAAGGACCTAAGCTTTCTCAAGAAGTACAGTATGTTCTGTCCTTTTAGACAAATTCACAGTGTCTCCAGTCAAGTCTGTCTCCTCCACCACCTTCACTTCTTCTCCCATGATGTAAATAACATTGAACTATGATGGTGAAGATTCTTAGTCATCCAGGTCATAGTCATTCCAAAGAAATTTTAAAAGCAATCCACTGGACTTTTTTTTCCAAGTTTAAAGATGTTTCGCTTCCCATCCAAGAAGCTTTTTCAATTAAAATAGAGTTGAGTTCGAGGCTTTATACGGTAGCCCAACAAAGCCTTGTTTTGGCTTAGAAAACATGCAATTTGAACCAGAGGAACGGGTCCACCCCTTTGGAATGGAGAGTCTTTTTTGTTCTTTGTTAGCCTGCAATACCCGATGCTGATCTATGCCTCTAAAAAGGGGGTTGTTAGAGGCATTGTTGGCCTGGAAAACTACCAGGTCTTCTGTTCCCCTGTAAGGGGACTGGGGTTGTAATTATTGCGGTAAGGAGTTATTTCAACTTATGTTAGTTTTTATGAGGTGCTGGTATTTATATGAGGTGCTGGTTGAAATATTTTTGATTTACTAATAATATTGCAAATGTTTAGTATATCTAAATCAATTTTATATGGCAACTGATTAATATTTACTAGGTATCTGAAAGGAAGTAATTTAGATACACTAAATATCTGTGAAAAATTGATTTACCTTCACCAAACAATGGGGTGAAATGAATTTAATTCACTACTTCTGTGGATAGAATGGATTTCTTTTTACTAAAATATCAGGATACGAATTATTTAGATTCAATAAATAAAATAAGCTACATCAACTCATTGGAACAATATTACTTAATTCAACACAGTTAAACTGAAATTTTTATTCATCTTTACATAAATTAATTGTTCAAATCAGCCTATAATTGGTACCTCATGACTTCAAATCTATTTCATATTATTAATTTTCCCTTTGCTGCCATATTTTTATATGTCTAATCTACTCAATACCATGCATTCCTTTTAGTAAAGGAAAGCTTAAAAATTATCATATTCAAAACAATGGATAAACATTTATTTGTGCATTTACACATATACATTTTGCGTACCATACCAAAATACAAATAACTTTTGTGTGAAAACAAAGACACTTGCTATTTGAGGAAAGCAAACTGCAGAGTTGGATTTCTCAACCACTGGCACAACATCTTCATAATAAAGCTGTGGGTTGCTGCAAGAATATGAAAAAAAAAATCATTATTAAAAACAAGTTTCTGGTTTTGCCTCTGTGAAAATGGACTGTGAGTCTTTGACACTGGCATCCATATCAAGGAATCAAAGTATTTAGAGTGCATTAGGAAGCTCTGTGTTTTCAAGACACCACTCTCACAACCAAAAAAACAGGCCAAGCTCCAACATCAAAAAGAGAAAAAATTGTGTTGATGGCAGTAACATAGCTGATATATATCTCCGGAGTGGTGTCACACCCAAACAGGAACACACCAGATGAAGCTACTATGATGAGAAAAAGTAGAGAGCTGTGGGGCCAAACACCAAAGCTTCCCAGTCCCTGAGGGGCCCGACCCCAGGGGCCATAGTGCCGGGGTCCCACAGGGCCGTGGCAACAAACCCATGGGCTCCACAGCAAGAGGTGGACCATGATGAGAGCCCTGGGCTCACCCTGAACATGAGGCACAACTTTCTTTCTCACATTGGAATCACTGCATTGTGGCCGAACAGAAGAGTCTGTGCACGTTTTTTTTGGCCTTGCCATTTTGGCCATGATGGCTCCAAACATGAAGGCATCAGTGATGCAGCCATTGGAAACAGCTGCTGGGTAATCCTCTGTCACATAGTGAGCTCAATAACCACTAGTTGTCTGGGTCTCGGAGGAAAACAAAAAGCCGGCCATAAAGGTATTGACTTCTGGAGGTCCTCTCATAACCATGGCTGCCAGGCAATCACAACCCAGTGACAACCACAGCCTGCCCCAGCTCATGGCCCGCCACAGCCAGATCAAAAAATGACCAGACCGAGAGACCCACACCTGATGTCAGATAATCATTGTAGGTTGTTTTGTTGCCAACATGCTAAAAACTGATGTCCAAGAACCTGCCTCAGTGCAATGTTTAATGGCAGATTTAGTACCACTACCAAAGATTACTTGATATTTCAACAGCCCTCACCTTTTGTCTGTAATGGCAGATAATTACATAGTATAACCAGCATGAGATCCAAAGTCATGAATTTTAGTATAAGGTCAGGAACGATTAGGATAGTATATATTTAAAGATGCAGAGTTTCATTGTCCTTCCATTTTTAACCTTTATAGTGATTCATTTTCCAATATAATTTTTATATATACACAATCACAAGCCATACCTGTTTTTGATTTGCTTTTACCCTCAACCTAAAAAAGCTGCTTCTGAGGTTTTGGTAAAAGCTAATAAGAGAAAATATTTTAAACATATCTTTGAAGTTTTTTTTATATATATATATATTTTCTTTTTTTTTTGATGAAAAATTGGCTACTGGAACAAGACATTGATGGACTAGAGTAGAAAACTTGGAACTGATGAAATGCTACTATAAGCGACCCCAGTGAGAGAGGTTACATGCAGAGATTATGGGAGATATGGACACTTCAAAATCCATCATCAACACTGACAAAGAAACAACTATTAACTCAGTGTTCTAACATCCACAAACGGCAGCTCCTCTCACAACTAGAAATTGAAGAGGTACAACTGGAACAACTGGACGTGTTCTGCCCTACAACAGCGGGCAGAACATGTCCTTACTAAAACAGATGGGAAGCAAAAAGAACAGAAACAAATCAAAGATGCTCTCCAAAACTGTGGATATCCAAATCAGCAAGGAAATCCAAAAGACACGCAACAGAAGACAGCAGTGAGAAAATTAAACACAAAAACATCATAATCCCTTATGTTGCTGGAGTGTCTGAAAAACTCAAAAGGATTTTCTCCAAACACAAAATCCCAGTACATTTCAAGCCAAACCAAACCCTTAAACAGAGGCTAGTGCATCCTAAAGATAAAACCCCCAGACCGAATATGAGCGGAGTGGTATATGCTGTTCAGTGCAGCGAGGAATGCTCTGATCTTTATATTGGAGAAACCAAACAACCTCTCCACAGACACATGGCCCAACACAGAAGAGCAACCTCCTCTGGACAAGACTCCGCAATACATCTACACCTTGTGGACAAAGGACATTCTTTTGAGGACCAGAATGTTCACATTCTGGATAAAGAAAATAGGTGGTTTGAGAGGGGCGTGAGGGGCATCTATGTTAAGAGAGAAAAAACAACTTTAAACAGAGGTGGTAGACTCAGATTCCAGCTTCCAAAAACTTACATTTCAGTTATAGAGATGATCCCTTTCAGATATCACCACACCCCCCACCCCATCACAGAGGAACAAAGTACCCCCCCTCTTCAGCCCGTGAACAATACCTCCTTAACAGTTACCTCCTTAACAGTTTTTCCTGATTATGACCTTTGTTTATCTTTTATTTATTTTAGAACTTCAAAATAAATGTGGAGATTCGAAAAGCTTTGAAGGACACCATAATGGAGGAAGGAAACGCTCTACTAGGCACCATCCCCTCCCATCAGTTTGGTATGTTCTCACAGAAACTATGAATTATTATTATTGTTATAACTATTATTATTCGGTCTCAAAGGCTTTGCCACATGCTGGAGAGAGAAAATTTAAAAAAAGAAAAGAAAGTGAAATCCCTGCTCATATTTGATACTATGTTAAACTTGTATTATGCCTTTTTATTGTTAACGAAATATTGCATCTCTATTGAAAAGGTGGCGGACTTCTTAGGTCAACTATGCTATTGTTTGTACCTGGTTTTGAATCCTGCTTAAAACCAGTATATATATATATATATATATATATATATATATATATATATATATATATATATATATATATATATATATATACACTATATTGCCAAAAGTATTTGCTCACCTGCCTTGACTCACATATGAGCTTAAGTGACATCCCGTTCCTAATCCATAGGGTTCAATATGACGTCGGTCCACCCTTTGCAGCTAGAACAGCTTCAACTCTTCTGGGAAGGCTGTCCACAAGGTTTAGGAGTGTGTTTATGGGAATTTTTGACCATTCTTCCAGAAGCGCATTTGTGAGGTCGCACACTGATGTTGGACGAGAAGGCCTGGCTCTCAGTCTCCGCTCTAATTCATCCCAAAGGTGTTCTATCGGGTTGAGGTCAGGACTCTGTGCAGGCCAGTCAAGTTCATCCACACCAGACTCTGTCATCCATGTCTTTATGGACCTTGCTTTGTGCACTGGTGCACAGTCATGTTGGAAGAGGAAGGGGCCAGCTCCAAACTGTTCCCACAAAGTTGGGAGCATGGAATTGTCCAAAATGTCTTGGTATGCTGAAGCATTCAGAGTTCCTTTCACTGGAACTAAGGGGCCAAGCCCAGCTCCTGAAAAACAACCTCACACCATAATCCCCCCTCCACCAAACTTTACACTTGGCACAATGCAGTCAGACAAGTACCGTTCTCCTGGCAACCGCCAAACCCAGACCCGTCCATCAGATTGCCAGATGGAGAAGCGCGATTCGTCACTCCAGAGAACGCGTCTCCACTGCTCTAGAGTCCAGTGGCGGCGTGCTTTACACCACCGCATCCGACGCTTTGCATTGCACTTGGTGATGTATGGCTTGGATGCAGCTGCTCGACCATGGAAACCCATTCCATGAAGCTCTCTGCGCACTGTTCTTGAGCTAATCTGAAGGCCACATGAAGTTTGGAGGTCTGTAGTGATTGACTCTGCAGAAAGTTGGCGACCTCTTCGCACTATGCGCGTCAGCATCCGCTGACCCCGCTCCGTCAGTTTACGTGGCCTACCTCTTCGTGGCTGAGTTGCTGTCGTTCCCAAACACTTCCATTTTCTTATAATACAGCTGACAGTTGACTGTGGAATATTTAGGAGCGAGGAAATTTCACGACTGGATTTGTTGCACAGGTGGCATCCTATCACAGTTCCACGCTGGAATTCACTGAGCTCCTGAGAGCGACCCATTCTTTCACAAATGTTTGTAAAAACAGTCTGCATGCCTAGGTGCTTGAATTTATACACCTGTGGCCATGGAAGTGATTGGAACACCTGATTCCAATAATTTGGATGGGTGAGCAAATACTTTTGGCAATATAGTGTATATATATATATATATATATATATATATATATCTTGCAAATTAATAAAACTTTGGAGTAAAGAAATTTATTGTTGACATGTGTACCTGAGAGCTAATACCTAATGGAAGAATTGTTGCAGTAAAATCATGGTTACTCATTAGCCAATCACTCCCACATCCTATGGACATGTACACATTTACTACCATTCTGGGACAGTATCTCTAAGCTCACAGATGACATGGCTCATGCCTTTCCTTAAGGATCCCAAGATCTTTCTCTTAGGTCTGCTCCCCAAGGAGTTATTCCCAAAAAAAGGAGAGATAGATCTTCAAAATCCTGATTATTGCGTCGAAAAAGGCTATTACGAGAAAATGGTTTAAAAACTCCCCGAGCTGAGCAAGTGCTAGAGACTATTGAAGAAATATATATAAATATAATTATATATTGTTCTAAATGAATGTGAAATAATATACGAAAATGTTTGAAGTCTCCGGTTAACCCAGTTTGGTATGTTATGTTCTTTTGAACAGTGACCCATTCTGTTCTATTTTTTTTGTGTTTTCGAGAAAAATACAAAAAGTAAAAAAAAAAATCAAAATAGTTAATTTCCTTAAAACTGATACTGATCAAAATCTTGATGTCTACTGAGAGGCTACTTAGACTTTACCTGTCATGATGGGTCTTAAGTGTTTCGCCCACATGCAGAAGCACTCACAGAGGCAGGGAAAAGTTTATTGAAAAACACTGGAGCAAAGAGAGACAAAAACAACTGGTTTATCAGCTTGAAGAAATCCAGGTCTGGTGAACCAGAAGCAGAATCTCTAGGAAGAGATCAGAGTGATGAGTTCAAGTTCCGTGGGAAAAAAGGCTGATACTGAATATAGGTTGACAAGGACTCACTTTTGTGGTTTTTGCGGTTGCTCCAAGGTTCCTGTTTGTGGAGGCTTGCACTCTTATGGAGATACTTTGCTGGAGGGCGGACAGGCAGACTATGGTGGACCTGAGGAGCAGACTTTCACTTGTTTTCCTGAAATGGACGGTGTTCTGATAAGATGAATTGTTTCCTTTTTCTCAGCATGACAAGAGGGTTCCTTCCAAGGCTAGAAGGACCAGGCCTATCCATTGGATCTGTATAAATCCTGGCGGAGATTCACAAGAGAGAAACTTGGTTAGCGCTTGGGGTCTCAGAACAAACAGAAATTCAAAGTAGAGACACAGCTAAACTCAAAGGGGCTAGAGTACCCAATACTGGCAAACATTCTGGCGAGGAGATAGTGACAGTCTGCTGCTCATATACTCCTCAGATGGTGATGACAAATGAGCTGCAGGTGTGAGTAGTTGAGAGCAGGAAGAGGCACTCCAGGCCAACAGAGGAACAATGGCACCATCTGGTGGATGCACAGAGACACTGAAAAAGAACAAAAACAACCCCCACAAACTTGAACCCTAACATTACCTAAAAAAAGGCATTGTTTTTTTTTCTTCTCTACCATGGCAGCCATGGGTACCTTGCTGCATTCACAGCTTGATGCCATATGCAGTCTATATTAAAATACCCATTGGAAGTTTTTTTTTTTTTTACATTCCTTCATGTGAAATATAATTAATTATTGGATGATTGAATAACCAGATAATTTATACAGACACATAATAAAGTGAACAAAAAGTATATTATTATCATCAAATAAATGTGGTTGCAGTTTATCCCTATGCAGAGGAGTGAAATGATGCAAAGCACATGCTCCTAGCAGTTGGCATGATAGGGGCAAAGAGAGCACAGGGAAACCCAAGAGGGACAAAAAGGGGGTTTCACTGGAGATAAATAATGCAAGCTTTTCATTCAATTTTTGCTGTGACAACCAATCAGGTGCCGTCTATTTTTCTGGATGTCGTTGTGGATCTTGTTGACATAGAGTGTTAAGATTAAGATTTTTTTTTAATCAAACATGAAGATAAAAATAAAAACATTGACATAGGATTAAGTAAGGAATGCTCTTTATCACTTTGTCATTAGCTTTTTTCAAAAGCAGTTTTAATCTAGTCCTTAGAATGACTGTTGAATCATTCATCATTAGTCCTCATATCTCCAGAGCTGGGCCTGGCCAGCTGCCTGACTGGTGCTGTCCTCCCTAAGCTCCTGAGCTGCCAATTGCCTCACTTCTGTTGGCTGGTTGATCTGTCACTGAAGCATAATAAAAGTCTCTTAGATACTGGACAGTGGAAATTGCTGGGAACTGGCATTAGCTCCTGGAATCCCTGAACTGGGAGTCCACTTCAGAACTGGGAGGATCTGAAAAACCCAGGATGCCATTGTTCAGCTTTCCACCTTAAATACAGCTCAGGGATTCACTTTGTAAAACACAGACAACAGGCATGTAGATAAAAGCTCCTCCTTTATTGTGACACAGGAAAGCAAGTGGAATGTTGTTCCTCATTAACTGGTAAACTGTCAAGAGAGCAAAAGCATGTGAATAACACAGAAAATGAACTGGAATTTCATGTGCCAGAAACTAATGACAATCAAATTCTTTTTCCTCCATTGGCTGACTGGACAATACAATTATTGGTTTTGTTATATTTATTTAATTTTTGTTTAACTTTGGTCTTGTAGACTCTCATTTAAGCATGGCCACACCAACTCTTGTATCTTAAATACTGTTTAAGAAAAAGTCAAAACCAGTTTTGAAACCCAGGGATCAGCCGTACACTCTGGTTGGGCAACTCTACCATTATGTTACTTCCAGTAGAATTAAACATATATGTAAAATTAACAGACTAGTTAAAACAAAATATTCTCAGGGTTTAGTCTCTCCCATTATGCGTTCCTGCACTACAAATAAAAAATTAATAAAATTGTTCGCCATTGCACATCAGCTGGCACATTGAAACAGTGTTTTTTGAATGCTTTTTTAAATATATCATGGAAGAAGGGAACTGGAGACCAATGGATTCAATACTTTAGCAATGTGGAACAGCCCGATGAATCGAAGTGCCAGCCTCCTACTTTCCACCTACAAGGGCAGCTCTTTGGTAGAGAGCCAAACCCTCTGGCCCTCCCAGTAGCCTGATTATGCAAATGTGTTAGATCTTCCTGCATGCCTGATTCGAGCTGAGTAATAGACTTTTCAATGTCTGAACGCCACTGTCTGTTGATGGGTCCGGGTTTGATCAGATATTCTGTCAAAGCTCAGAACATAGAACCCAGTATTCAGACAGACAAACAGTATGATATCTCAAAAACTATTTATTAAAAACGATGGATCTGAAGTGAACAGCCAGGGCTTCTAAGGCAGGAACCACTGCGGGAAGAAAACACAGGTTAGGGAGCATGTTAATCTGGCAGAGGAAGATTATAAATGTGCGAGTCACTAACTTGGTTTTAAAGTTCAGTCTGTGCCCAGAGGACAAGGTAGATTCCAGCCGACTGGCTGCCAAAAAGATGTGGTGAACGCTGGCCAGAGAGTCCCAGAGGTTGAAGCTCCGAAGACTGAAGAACAGACAGTAATCAGATCAGAGCAGATGAAGGAAGGCAGGACAATCCACAAGGTGAACCCAAAGCAAGTGTCGAGGAGGTTCACAGGAGTCAGGGCGAGAAGATCCAAAGAGATACCGAAGGCAAATCCAGGACGGCGTCAGGAAGCAGTTCCAGGTACAGAAAACAAGCAGAAAACAGGCAGGCTTAGTGGTTTACAGGCAGCACAGGATCAGATAATCAGAAACAATAATATCTGATAGAAGACTCTTACCAAGAGCTTGAATAATCTGGCACTGATGACTCGAATGGGGCAGGTTAGATAAAGACTGGATCAGGTGAAACACATGAGCGGTAATGAGAAACTGGATGGAGCTAGGCAGATGAATCAGTGCCAAGATCGTGACACTGACAAACAAAGACAAGATTGTCATGTCTATATTTGACCATGAGACTGGTTTATTGATTAAAAACTAGTTTGAACCACAATGTTTTATATCAAAATAGCTTACCTAAACCCATTTTCTAGCTTACCAAAGAAATAGGTATACTACTTCTTTTTTTTTTAATTCTAACTAAATTAACATTTCTGTTGGATAATGTCTCCCCCCCATGCATGAAGCTGTTGCAGAACTGGAGAGCTCCTTCAGTGACAGACTGCTGCACTCTAAATGCACCAGGGAGCGTTATCAAAGATCTTTCCTCCCAGCAGCTGTAAGACTATAACCAACACTGTTCCCGACAACCTCAATAAGTTGTTAAATTTATGCAGATTTTTTACAGTTTCTACCCCAGCCATTTAAATAATATGCTGTCATTTTGCACAATTTTTTTTTCAAATTACTGTAAAAATATCCACAGCTGTATATTTGTTATTTATTCAGCAGTTGCCCAGTTTTTGTATTGTTAAAACACTTTGCAGTACAGGAGTAATTATCTTTTCACTATTATATTGTTCTTATACGTTTTTCTATAATTTCCCCATTGTGGGGCAGTAAAAGGATTTTTTCTATTCTATTATTTTTCTTTTTAATAATTGAACTTTATTGATTTCACATTGGAGAAATTTACCTCTGCATTTAACCCATCTCCCCGGGGAGCAGTGGGCTGCCACAGTGGGGCGCCTGGAGAGCATTCTGGGGTTAAGGGTTTTGTTTAGGAACCCAGAGTGGAGGCTGTGGGGATCACATTTGTGGGGTACTTGCAACCTTCTCAGAGCACACACACACTCCTCTAACCACTAGGCCCACACTCTCCCCATACTAGGCCAACACTCCCCCTGCTGGTAAATATTGACCTCTCTGACTTTTCTATGTGGTCTGACATTATTCTTACTCCCTATTTTTCTTTTCTTATCCCTCCAGCTCTTGAGGATATCCTCCATATGGTTGAAAGCCAGTGGGATCAACTCCAGCGGCAGATCCGACGGCAACATAGCTGGATGCTTCGTGCTTTTCACTTCATCCAAGCCCGCCTCCTCCACACCAGACACACACAGGAACCCTTTACAGCCATGTTGGATATGTCAGCAAAGCGGCAGCTTCCGTGCTTTTCAGAAGAGCTAAATGTAAGAAACTAGTATCCTCCATCTTCCTCTTGGCAATTAATGTTTATTATTCTACCTGTGTGCTTTTTGTTTCTTTATCATTTTATATATCCTGTTTCCCCTCCTCTGTGGTTGATCATCCTTGATCCTGCCTTTATCTGCATGCATATGCAGCTCACAGTTAAACATAACATCCTGCTTTGTCTTATCTTATTTATGCAGTTAGACTGAAAAGAGATTACTCAGAAAATTATGAAAAGAATCAAGATTGTGTCTGGAGTAGTCCTTCCCCTCTTTAGCTCTTTAAATCAAGTCAATTTTCAGTTTATTTATAGAGCACCGATTCCCAACACATGTCATCTCAAGGCACTTTACAGTTCAACCAGATCATACAGTCAAATTGATTCAAAGTTTTCTATCTAAGGAAAACCAGCTGATTGCATCGACTCATTGACTCTTCAGCAATCCCTCACACTAAGCATGCTTGTAGCAACAGTGGAGAGGAAATACTCCCTTTTAACAGGAAGAAACCTCCAGCAGAACCAGGCTTAGTGTGAGCGGCCATCTGCTGAGGCCGACTGGGGTTCAAGGAGACGGAAGCAGAGATACAAAAAGCAGCTGTAAAAGGCAGGTAAAGGTAAAAGGTCCAGGAAACACACAGCCAGGCAGTCGAGTTCCGAGCCAGCTCCCATGTCAGAGGATGAAGAAAGCGCATTCAGTTAGTCACAGTCAGAGAAACGGGACTACACTGGAAAACAGGCCGATCTCCAACATCTATAAACAAGGGTGTTGATGGAAGCAGCACAGCTGATATTTCTCTCCAGGATGGAGTCACAGCCTAACAGGAACAGACCAGATGAAGCTACTATGAGAAAAATCAGAGAGATCAGAACGTTAGAGCTTGACTAACAGATTCGGCAGAGTGGGAGAATAGAGATAGAATGAAGCAGAATGATGAAATGGGGGTCCCTATGTCCTCCAGCAGTCTAAGCCTATAGCAGCATAACTATAGAGATAGCTCAGGATAACCTTAGCCACTCTAAATCTGTTATGAACATAAGGAACAATCAGATCTATGATATAAGATGGAGCTTGTCCATTTAAGGCTTTATATGTGAAAAGGAGAAATTTAAATTCTATTCTGGATATAACAGGAAGCCAATGAAGAGAAGCCAGGATAGGAGAGATATGATCTCTCTTTTTAATTTTCATCAGAACTCTGGCTGCTGCATTTTGGATCAGCTGAAGGCTTTTAACTACAGTTTGTGGATTTCCTGATAGTAAAGAATTACAATAGCCCAGCCTTGAAGTAACAAATGCAAAGTGACCGCCACCTCCTTGCTCCTTCCCAGTGAGCAAAACAGGTTCCACTCTTTACCTCTTGACCTGCTGGAGACAACCACAGCTTTGGTCAGGAAGGTTTATATTAGGGTTAAAAGACAGTATCTGGAACAAATCTCATCTGTCGGATAGATGCTGTGGCCATCTCAGTTTGTGGGTCTAAAGTGATGTTGCCACATGACAATGTAAGCTTGCTATCAGCAGTCTGTGTAAACACATTTGGAGCAAATATGCTTACAGCAAATATGCTTATATACTCCTCCTCCTCCTGCTTCTCCTCCTCCTGCTGCTGCTTCTCTTCATCCTCCCCCTCCCCCTCCTGCTGCTGCTCCTTCTCTTCATCCTCCTCAACCTCCGCTCAACCTCTGCTTGTCCTAATCTTCTTCACACTGCTGCTGCTTCTCCTCCTCATCCTCCTGCTGCTTCTCTTCATCCTCCCCCTCCTTCTCCTCTTGCTGCTGCTACTTTACTTTGTCCTCATCCTCCTCCAGTTGCTGCTTCTACTCCTACTCCCCCTCCTCCTCCTGCTGCTGCTCCTTCTCTTCACCCTCTTCCTCCTCCTGCTGCTTCTTCTCCTCATCCTCCTGCTGCTTGTCCTCATCCTCCTGGTGCTGCTTCTTCTCTTCATCCTCCTGATCCTCTGCCTGCTACTTCTTCTCCTCCTCCTACTCATCATCATCCTCCTCCTCTTTCTGCTCCTCCTTCTCTTCATCCTCTGCCTGCTGCTGCTTCTCCTGGTCTTCTTCATCACATTGCTGCTGCTTCTCCTCATCCTCCTCATACTCCTCCTGCTGCTGCTTATCTTCATCCTTCCCCTCTTTCTGCTGCTACTTCTCCTCCCCATCCTCATCCTCCTTCTGCTCCTCCTTCTGTTCAACCTCTGCCTGCTGCTGCTTCTCTTCATCCTCCTGTGAAGTTAAAATTGTGTGTTCAACTGATATCTTCTTTTTAAGCAGTATATTTGTTGAAGGTCACATGGGTGTAAAATGACCATGCAGAAACTTAGCAGAGTTTCTTAACAGGAGAAATGCAGAAGCTGGGAATGGTCAGTTTGAAATAGGTGTTGTTTAAACAGTAACAAGCAAGAACAATTGGTGGTAAAACAGTTACTATGAAACAACTCAAGAGGTCAGCTCTGTGGAAACCATTGTGTTGTGCATAAGAGTTTCTGTTAATGTTTTGTAACCTCTTTTACGGGTGAAAGTCTATGTGTAGAGGGGGAATGAGCCATCCCAGTCAGAGCTCACTGAGAGATTCTGTGTAACTGTGAGCTCTCCACTTGCAAGTGTCTAAATTAGAAAGATTTGTTCCTTGCAGTCTGCTGTGTCTCAGTCTCCAATTTCTAACAGACTTTACACCCCCCCCCCTTCTCCTTCTGCTGCTGTTTCTAATCCTCAACATTCTCCTCCTCTTTTTGCTGCTGCTGCTTCTCATCTTCCTTCTACTGATGCTTCTGCTGTGTTTATTCTCATCCTCCCAAATTGATCCTCATCAAAGAAAAAAATTTACTCCCTTGACCTTCCATATTGAGGTTATAAAAGCATGGTTTTGTATGACTGGAGTTAAGAGTTTGATGCTTAGCCACGTGAACATGGTTCTATGTAGAATAATAATTTTGATAACTTTTGATCCTATATGCCTAAAGTCCATGCACAGTGAATTTGAAGTCTCTAACTGAAAAGCACTAGGAGCTCTTCAATGAGATATATCATGAGTTAAAAACAAAAAATGGTATCTGTGATCCAAAATGGTCCATTTCCTGTTGGGTTTGGACCATGGCTCCAATTTACTTTTTTGTGCATGCTGTTGGGTTATTCATGTGTCCCAAATTTAATAATCCTCACTAAAAGCAGGGCTTGGGACAGGTATTTTATACTGTTATGGGGAGAAGTTTTTTGAGGATCAGCCACACCCACATGCTTTGTCACAGCAAAATTCTTTTGATAACTTTTGATCCCTTATGTGTTAAGTCTAGGCTCAGCAAGTTAGAAGTTTGTAGCTCAACCGCTGAAGGAGGAGTTTGCTTACATACAATATAAAGGTAAAAACGCTAATGATCGCTTTGATTCAAAATGGTGGACTTCCTGTGGGGTTTGGACCATGGTTCCAATACAGCTTTTTGTAGGTCCTGATGGGTTACACATTTGTATCAAATTTCATAACTCTCAGTAAAAAAAATTGCCTGGGGCTTGCATTTTGTTTTATGGCAAACAGACAACATTTGACGATTGGCCACGCCCACATGCTTTGATGTAGAAAAATTCCTTTGATAATTTTTGATCCCCAATGCCTCAATTCAATGTGGAGTGAGTTTGAAGTATGTACCTCAAAAGCTCTGGGAGGAGTTTGCTCAGGTAGGTCATGAAGTTAAAAAAGCAAAGCGATTGCTTTGACTCAAAATGGCAGACTTCCTGTGTTTTTTGGACCATGGCTTCAATAGGCTATATTGTAGGTCCTGAGGGAATACATAAGTGGTCCACGATTCAGAACTCTCAGTCATAACAAGGCCTGGGGCTTACCTTTTGTTTTACTGCCAAATGACCAAGTTTGATGCTTGGCCACGCCCACATACTGTGATGTAGAAAATCCCTTTTTTAACTTTTGATCCCCGATGCCTCAAGTCATTGTACAGTGAATATGAAGTCTGTAACTCAAAAGCTGTAGGAGGAGTTTGTTCAAATATAGACGCTGTAAAGTGCAAAATTACCGTGAAAATTTTTACTTCAATTCAAAATGGCCAACTTCCTGTGGGGTTCAGAGGACAGCTCCAAGAGGCTTTTTTGTTGGTCCTGAGGTGTTTAACATGTTTAACATGTGTGTCCTGTAGTACTTATAAAGGAATACACCCTTTAGCTCTTCATGAGATAAATCAAAGGCCAGAGAGATCCAACAAGGATACAGCTAAGAAAGAGTAGAGCTACTTAATTAACTGTGCCTGAGAATCCCTTTACCTTGACCGACCTGCAGCAGGAAATCAAGTTCTGTTGAAATTCATCCCAGCAATCTTACACCACAAAGGACGTAGGCTAAGCACCTTTGCTCTCCTGCACTGAGCGCCGGCTCCTGATCAAGCACAGATCTACAGAACAGAAATGCAGAAGCTCATTAGATCTGGAGTTGTAAAGGCAGTAAGAAGAACCCTCCAAGGAGTACTGGTACATTCCACATCACCTATTCTCCCACAGTGGTAAGAATAGGTTGTTTTTTCACTGTTCTCACCAATACCAAGGGCAGTCTTTAAACCAGTACCTATTACCAGGCCCCACTCTGGGGGCCTCATTGGTTGGAGTACTACTGAGATTCCGCGAACACGCTATTGCAGTGAGTGGGGAAATCAAAGAGCACAGCAAGCAAAGCTAAACAACTGGTGGACCGTCTCAGAAATCTCCTGTCCTCTGCAGGTTTTGACCTGAGGCAGTGGGCCAGTAATGAGCCCCATGTCCTCAACCATTTACAGCATGATGCCAGATCTCAGAGCCTAGACATGTGGCTGGTGCAAGATAAAGTCAACCCCCAGAAATGCACATTTGGCCTCAGTTGGAACTGGGAGAGAGATTGGGTTAAAAGGATTGACCCCAAACAGTCTGTTCTTGGGGTGGCTTGATGACTCACTCCCATTGGTGGTGTACCCGGAATCTGAGATGCTAAGTCGGCTACGCTGGAGACATTCTCAGATCCTG